TGGTATCGATGTTATGGGCTATCCTTTTCAAGTTTCATATTTTATGAAATATCAATAATAATCAAAGTTATTATTGACAAATTTAATATTTTCATACATCAAGTTATTTATATTTACCTAATATTTATCTAAAATTGAGTTTAAATAATTTGATCATTAATAAAACATTTATAAATAGTGATTATTTTTTTAGGGTCATTCATTTTTTTACTTCTTGGAAAAGAGACTATACGCAGGACCAGCGCACAATTGAGTAAGAAAATTAAGAGACAGAATTATTTTCTCGGTAATTAGACAAAAGTTTCATAATATTCTTTATATTCTCAGTAAAGGTTAGTTTATTACTTTTACCAACATTTATTTAGTATATCATTTCACAGAGTTACTGTAATTTCAAATATATGTTTTTAAAATTTGTATTTATTAAAATATTAATTAAAAAAAAATATATTAAATTTATTTTGATCGAAGAAATACTAATTAGAAAATCGACTTTTTGCGTTCTAAGAATTTAAAATGCATTTTAGTATATTGAGCTTACTTTTTATGCTTAAGTACATACATTTTAAAATATGTTTTGAACATTACATGCATAGTTCTCCTCATAATTAATACTCAAATATAGCCAAATATTCCTAAGAATTGTTTATTTCAAATGCAATAATTATTCGTTGCGGTTTTCAAATGTATACGAATAATACATTTATATTCAAACATAGAGTACCTAATAATTTGTTTTTTTTCTTCTATTTACATCCATAATGTATTTTAAAAATTCACGCAAGACAAAAATTTATTTATTTATTTTAGGTTAGTTCTATACGGAATTTTCTTGTGTATTTTAACATGAACATAAAATCTATAGTCATAACTAATAAAGAAATAAATCTCAAAAACCTATCAAAATCATGTAATTATAATTTAAATATAAAAATATAATATACTTTATAATATTTATATCCCATAAGTTCTTTGGAAATCAAATTAGACTTTCATCACTTTGCAAATTCAGAAAATTAAATAATACATTGCTAAAATAACTTTTTTTATTTTGTGTAGGTAATAAATGTCAAAAAATGATTTAAAAAATTTAAAAAAACCTTATTTATTTTTTGCCACTTGAAAATACCTTGGGAAAAAATAACATTTGGCTGGACTAGGAAAAAATATTGGAATCAAAGTAAACTCTTTATTTACGTGGTTTTCATAAAAAACCCTCATGCGTAAGACCAATGCATGTCTATCAAACCGTATAATGTTTGTTGGTCATCGATAGTTCCGAGTAAATGTAAAAACGCAGGACTGCTAAGGCAATGACAACTCTGCGGTTAAGATTTATGGTAGAACAATATTTTATGGAATCTCGAGACATAGACCACAATGCTAAATATTTTTGGATTAATTAATACAAGTTAAAAAAAAAATAGTTTCAATTGTCAATTATTTTGAAGTTCATAAGTTCATAATTTTGCGACCACATTTCTCAAGAGCAGTGAGACAGCACTTAAATGAAACATTTACTTCTTGGATCGGCATAGGAGGCACAATTCCATGGCTTCCGAGGTCTCCAGATTTAATTTCTTTGAATTTTTTTATTTGGGGATACCTCAAAGAACTAGTCTACCATTTGGAAGTCGATTCTGAAGTAGAACTAAGGCAGATAATTCTTCAAGCTGCTATTGAAATGCGAAGAATAATGCCAGTAGGAGTAACTGGGAATAAAGTACGTGAGAGAGGACATGCTTGTTTAAAGCAAAACGGTGGACATTTTCAACAGCTTTTGTAATAAACTTATATGAACAAAATAATTTTAAATCTCATGAAATAAAATTTACATCAGTTTACCATGTTTTAGTGGTTTTGTATTTATCAATTAGAATTAGTTTTCGTTTTTTCACACAAAAGGTGGAATAGCGGTCCTTTCAAATTGTTTAATAAAAAAATAGAGTTTACCGCTCCAAAGCTTATAAAATTTTAAAGTTTTTGTGAAATTTGCACCTCCCTGTCTTAGAAATTAATTGTTGTTAAATAACATTGAAATTTATTAATATTTCGACAATTTGAAATTTTAAAAGATTTATATTATTTCTTTAACCCAAAAAATTAGGTGGGAATCTTGAAGTGTATGTTTTCTTAATTCTAGTTTTATGAGCTTTTCAATGGTGTATTCAAATTGATTTTAGACCTAACGGTTCAGCAGATATGAACATTATTATGAATGAAACATGCGTTCAATCAAAAAACACAAAAAATCGAAATATCTCCCTTATTATTGAGAACTCGATAAGGACTTTTTTGTTGCATCTGAGGTGTATAAGTACCTCTTGAAGTTTGATACATTTATCGTGCAACACTCTGTATTAATCTTTAATGTACATTTATATATTTAAAGTAATATTCTTTAGTAATAAAAAAAAAAAAACAGAAAAATAAAATGTGTATTAATTTAAGTCGTAAGAATTGATATTGCTTTGATGAGAATACTATCAAAAATATGTCAATATATTATATTATAAAATATAAAAGCGCTTTGATTTGTTAAAAAAAATATCTATCTTTAAGTTTATTTTCGATTTAATATTTCTAAGAATTTTTTAATCGAGTACAGTATTTTTACTAAGTTATAAAAGCCTCACAAGTACAAGGCATATTGATTTCATTAATTGTTAATTATTTTATATTGATTATTATAAATTTGCCATAGCGACAACAAGGCCAAAATAATGAAGAAAGTGATTCATACATTCATGAGAATATTGACTAATTACGAATTGTATCCAAAGAAAACTAGTTTAAAAATGGAAGTATTCAAAACAACTGGAAGTTGTTGATAAATTATGCGTAATTGTTTACAATACAATCTTTGAACTTTTTGATATAGCTTTGTACAAACACTTTGAGTGAACGTGGAATAAACAAAATATATAAAAATAGGTGGATTAGATAAATGCGTAAAAATGTATAAAAATACATCTGTTTAAAATTGTATTTATTAATGCTATTTAAATTATAGTAAATTAAAATGTGTTATTACATTTTGGATTCGTTTCCAAAGTCATAGTAGTAACCTATTAATTAATTTCGGTTTAATTCCAACTACGTCACGGCGAATTAAACGTAAAAGTTTCAACAATTATTACGTTATCATTTTTAACGATACGTTTAATAGCTTCTAAAAATAAACATTGATTTGCAGTAAAAGATTAAATTGATATAAAATCGATTTGCACTGCAATGTGTAAATGTCACTAGTGTTTTTTATTTTAGTAACAATTGTTACAAATTAATTATTATACTGTTCAAAAGTTTTTAATTTATACACGAATAATTTTTCTAAAATTTTTTTAGATAAAACAAATTAATTTCATTTTATTTTTAACTTGACGCATAATATTATTTATAATAGTATCATAAATTAATTAGCATAAAGTCCTTTCTTGATTTTCTATGGAAAATGAAAACGGTTTTAAAACATATTTTCTTAAATCTCTCTGCTGTAATTATATTTCAGTTGCTAAAATTATGGCGAGAAAGGATTCTTTTTAATAAAGTGTCCTAGATTGTTATTTGTAACTTCATCGAAAATATGAGCGAATATTGTGTTGGTACACAATTTTCCCCATTAATTGTCTGATATTTATTTGGCTTATATTTTTGAAATAAACTTACGCATTTTGTAATTTTTTTTTTGAAAATAATAACAAAATGATTATACTATTATTCATAATAACTAGACGTTGAATCAGTGATTTTTTCAGTAAACTTTACTATACTTAAACTTAACTATAACCAACGTTTAATAACGGTATAAAATTGATGTGCATCGGAAAACTAAATATAGACTATTGACTTGTTTTCTTGTAGTTAAAGAAAATATATTTTTTTTTTTTTTTGAACAATAACTTCTATAAACTGTTATAACCAAAAAAATAAAATAAAAATTTATTTATCAACATAATTGCTTATCAATAAAAAAAACAAAATGTTTTGATCGACCCCTAGAATATATTATTACACACAAACGAATTAAGTATTATATCACTTTTGACGAAAAATTCATCAAATTTAGCACAAATTTCCACATATACGAATACTATTGTTATATCAACTCATATTTTGTTTAATTAGTAAAACCATAAAAATGAAGGTCAGTATTTTTTTTTAAGTAAATACACCTTTTTATAAAATTCTATCAGCCGTTATACTAAAATCTATTTGATAATATTTTATTTGATACATCATTGTTTAAAAAAAATATTTTAGTTTCCTCAAGTATTTCAAGTAAAGAGTGTTTTTGTTATAGAGTTCACTAATATGCACCATAGCAGTATTTTGTAATACATAGTTAAAAGTATAGCTTACTTTCAACTAATATAGTAAATTTCATATTTCATAACTTATAAATGTCGACGGTACCATAAATATTTAACTATATGATATTATATTATATTTCTATAAGGTGGATGATAATTATAGTGTTAATAATATATTCATCGTTTTGATGAATATTTCAAAGATACATGTAAATATTGTTTTTGATAAACTAGAAACCATCGTAAGATAACAATAATGGTCATAAAAAAAAATCACAAAGCGTTGAAAAAAAACATTCATAAGATGAATAAATGGGTTATAATCATGATATAATTATTGTTCTTCAGAGTTTACATAATACACACAATCACACACACACACAACGTATGTATGTAAAAGTAAAAACATACGGAACAATCAAACCAGTAAAATACCGGTCTCGTCGTACAGATGGCGATTGTAGTGCATTAGTCATGTGGTCGTCCATGGGCGACGAGAAACCGTCAGTCAGTGCAGACCAGCGCTCGAATCGTTTCGCTGGTTCCTACCGTTTCGTTTACCACCGCTTGAGTACGTTATACACGCCGTCGCATTAATATTTTCAAACCTATATTGTTTTAGAAAAATAAATATACGTGTAAAATTTTTTTCTTATTTTGTTTTTGTGTTCCGTGAACTTTGTGCAGAAATAAATAAATATATAATCCTTTATGAACGAATACACGTACGAGTATAATAAAATATTAGAAAAAATAGAAGAAAATACGGTTAAATGACATGGTCGTCTGGTCCCAGTGTTTCGTATTAATAATAGGCCGAGAATGTCCCTTGGGCACAGCTCCAACGTGAAGCCGACACCGTTGTTTTCGTATTTATCATAACATAATATCTAGATTTTTGTTTAAAATTTCATTTTTTCTTCTTTCGAATAATTTACGAATTATCGTCGCGTGAAATTCGTGGTAGGTACCTACGTGAAAATCACGTACACCTATAAACCCGTGCCTGCGAATTCGCGCCGTACAGTGATTGTCTTGTCCGTTAAAAAAAAAAAAAAAATTGAAAATTAAAATATCTTATCAGCTCTCTACACAATACATAATATATTCATATCAAAACAGCATCGTGCCATCATCCTACACGGTAACCTCACTGCTACTAGTGGCCGTTCGTCGTGCACGGCAATCCGGCGAATCTGATGCATGGATACGTTGACCAGAAACATGCCGTCCAAAAAACAGTACAACCTCGTGCCCAACGACGAGTACGACACGAGAATACCTATGCATCCGGAAGAAGCGTTCGAGCACGGCATTACATTCCACGCCAAGGTAAGACGTTTATTAGTTTTATTTTTATTTCTGTCTGTCCATGCATGTTCACTTGTTATTCTACCATGGTCGCGCCCGGGACCATACCTATTTAGCATGGGGAAACGATCGCCAAACCTTCCGGATAACCGGTGAGCCGCTAGTATGAACTATAGATGGTACCTAAATTTGATAATACGTCCGATCGTAGTGCTTATTTATGGTTATTAACATGAGAAAATAATATTATGATAGCACCATTGTTCTCGGGTGTTTGGAACGAGTTCAGGCTTCGAACACTTGCATCAGCAGTACCTACCATCTCATACCACCACAGGTATTGTGTACAGTGATGATCAATTTTATTCCGAGGTTATTCTAATAATCACACGGGTTGTACTATAGATCACAAAGCTTTTATTCAACGTCATATAAATATACTTTGACACACTACAGATTTGTACCTATACCTCTATCAGTATTCCGTTCCAACAAAATCTTCTGTTATGCCGTAGTAATTTCGGAAAAAAAATGTTGTTTATAATTCTTGAATTTTAGTAAATGTCTAATTATTATTCGGCTATTGTTTCTACTTACCATTTACTGTTGAATAGTTCAAAAGTTGTACGGCACTACAAAGAAGTACGTAATTTTTAAATTACCAACTAACTATATCATGCATTTGATAAACTATACTATAGTCATTGGTTAATGACATATTTTTCATACAATGTACCATAATTCTCATTCCAAATTATTATATGTTATATGTCTTACTAATAATGTAATTGGACCTTGTTGCTTTTGTTTTTTGAGTATTTTCTACTTATCTTGTGTGTAAATTAATGTATACATTAGTTATTAACGCCACCATTTGTGGTAGGTAAATCGAATTATAAATAATATCAGTTTAAAAAAAATTCCAAGTAAATATAAAATATATTTCCAAAATCTTAATTACAAGTATTTTTTTCTTAATAATAATTGTAACTAACTAATATAAATTATAGCACATACTTTTATTAATAAGATTATGATTCATTATATTTGAATATTTCCAATAATTGAAATAGGTCGTACATTCAAATTCCATCATAATTGTTTTATCCATATGAAGTGCATACAGCGGGAAAGTGGTTTTTAGTTTAACTATAATAAACTTATCTATCAATAAAATGCATTTGACTTATATACAAATTTTTAAAAAATATATTTATAAAAATATACGTGATATTATGTAAATTGATAAAAATATTGAGTATAATTTATATATATTTAAGTAAAATTTGAGTATAAGTTTTTTTTTCATTAGTATATTGCTTATACATTACATATTTTATGGTACGATTTTGCGGTTGATCTGACATTAATCAGTGTACTATTATGTATTCATTACGTATATTTTATGTGAATTTTAATCCTGTTAATATTTTATTTAAAATGGTTATTTCAACACAACTAATATTTGCAGAATTGTTGAAAAAATCAACAATATATATTTAAGCAATTCCAATTAATTTAATACATTTTGTAGTACAGGTATAAATTGTACTGTATGCATAATACATTTCAGGTAGATACCAATAATAATTTAATATTTTTTTTTATTACCATACGATTCTTTAAATATTAGACTTGCATATTTATCAAATATATGATGGATTATAGTTAAACTCTTATTAATCTTTAATTCTTCGATACCAATGGGATAAATAATTTGGAATTTATAAAAATTTACTGTTGAAATACAATAATTTATGAATAGAAATCATGTTAAACATAAATGTTTGTGTTTGTTAATTGCAAATTACGATTAGAAAATAAAATTATAATTTTAAAAATAATGGTTTAAATAGTGTAAATATGAAAGTACTAAACAACATGACATTTATAAGTATTTTATACAATAAATGGAAACTTGGACACTTTACATTAATTAAAACTCCATTAACACTGAATTTTTGGTACCAATCGCATCATCAGCTTATAAACCAACAGAAATTAAACAAAACTAAGTTATGGAATCTTAAGTGAAATTATTCTTCGGGAAAAAATAATGAACATAATTATTATACCTTTAAGATAATCTTTGGGAGTTTGTACTTTACACAAAATAATTGGTATAAAATTAAGGGCTATAGATTCAAAATTACTTTTTTTATAAATACAACACTATACTTATATTTAAATTATACCGAATAGAAATTAAAAATTAAAAATTAAATTAAATTAAATTTTATTTTTGCTAATAAAAGTGTTCATAATATCTTTTAGTTCAAGTGGATTGAACTTTAAAACTATTATCTATTATTGTGTTTTCAAATTAATTTATTTTATTTTTGAAATATTAATTTTTATCGAAGTAAGATGAAGTGTGTTAGAATGTGAAACCTTTATTATAATAAAATTCGTATAAATTCAAAAGCAATTATTAAATAAATCATTAGAAAATTATTTTGAATGAAAATACCATGTTGGTGCGAAATAGATATTCAATATCTCATAATCAGTAATATTTTTGAAAATAAACAGCTATATACTTAAAAAAATTATTTAAAAAATTTGGACGGTTCAAATCTTTAAATTACTTAATAATAGGTCATTGTCAATCTTTTTGAAGCCACAAAATAAAATAAAAAAAATTTTAAACATAAATAAACCTGGTAGATGACATGTTACGTTGTTTCCAAGTTTTTTTCATTTCAAATAAGCTACCGAGAAATATGACCTCTCCAAAGTACAAACTTATGTTTATCTTGTGATTTAATAAAGCATTCATCTAAAAAAAAAAAATATAAATACATCATATAATATTCATATATTATCACTGTAAGACAAATCTGTCAATTATTTCAAGTACCATGTATAGTATTCAATATAGTTTATGTTGAACATTTTTATAAATAGCTTGAAAGTTTTGTTACGCGATCGTGTTTTATCTTATTTTAATAAAAATATGGAAAAATGTATTTATAACAGTTAAGAATTAGAAAAAAATCAATCACGACGTATATTTTTAGCGAGTTTTTTTACAATTATTCTACAAGAAAATTGGAACGAGGAAATTAGATATGGTTAGAATGAAAGATTCCATTAAAAATGAGATGATAAAAAATATCAAAATCAAACAAAGTATTTTTCCACAATTAGATACGGATTTTTCCAAGTGAAAATTTTCACCATTCATGATTCGCCGCCAAAGGAACCACGAAACAGGATGAAAATATCTACTTCAGTCACTGACGAGAGAAAGCGCGCTGAATTGTGTGTACTTTTAATCGCAAAATGTAAGATCTGAAATATTTTTAAAAATATATTGTTATTTGAAAAAACGGGAATTGAAGAAAAGAAAAAAATATCCAACAGAATTGGTCGGATATCTGAATAACTGGTTTGGACGTTTGGTTTTCAAGGTAAATCACGTGTATCCATTTTGCAACTTTTCATCTGATTATTTATTTCATAACGTCAACAATTTCCTCGCTTTAGTATGAATCATACCATCGATGATGTCGTAGAGTGTATGAGCGTGAGTACATTAATACTTAGTCATGGCTATCATTTGCATAACCAATGATACTTATTACACATCAAAGGCATGTTATTATGATTTTTATTTAATTTTATATAATTACCAATGCGAGAAAAAAAGTCCTCCGTATAAAAATTCTAGATGCTCAATTCATATATTACATTTTATGATATTTTTTTGCTCAGGGAAATTTAATTGGTTTTCATCTAAGCAAAACACTAATCAAATGTATTTTATTTGCGGTTTATTAACTATTAAATAAATGTAATAATTATCTATTTCGTAATACTATAGTAATGAATATTATAAAAGCAATTTATAAAATATTTTTAATGATATTTTAATAAATCGTGTTCTCAAAAAGCCGATTTGTAGAAAAATTAAATGAATATTTACTATAAACGAAAACATCGTGATAAGATATATCGATAAAAGCTTTCTACCGCTTATAGATTTTAATTATTCCATTGTTATAATTATTATTATTAAAACCGTGTCACTTAAAGAAATGCACTTTGCCGTTGTACATATTGCATACGTAGACACGCAAGGAACATAATTGAAACCGATTGGTTGAGTCATAAATGTGAATCAATTTTGTCGACTGTGCAGTGATTGACCTTCTTCAAGCTTGTTTAGTATCGGTAATGACTCAACCCTGTTACGTATCGCCTATTTTCGACCGCAAGCATCGGTTTTTTTTCTTCTATCCACTACTCTCGGACATGTGTGACTTCCGATTTTTTTTTCACGCATTTGTAAAAATCGTCAGAAAACCGTGGCATCGAACATAAAGATGCTGAATCGAAAAGTACCGATGCGAATCAAGTTTGTATTAAACTCTATAGGGGAAAAAAATTATCCGGGACGTTGAACTACGATGTACTCGTATAGCATGAATAATGTACGAGTTTCTGAGACAAAGACATTGATTTTGATGAAACCACGTGGTTGTTTTTCAATTTAGAATTACGAAATGACTGACCGGAATGCCGTACCGTATATGTGATTAGTGATTACTGAGTATATTTTTTTTCCACTCTTCTTTACCAGTCCTTTATTATCGGTACATATCAGCGTACGTGACTGCATCCGTACGCACGCAGAACGGGGTTGTTGAAGGTCAATAACACGGGACAATGATTTCTTATTGCCAGGTGTTATGTTCGAGTTACCCAGTATATGTATAATTGCTCAATATCAGTGCGAGAGAAAAAATAAGGTAATCAGACCAGCCCTCGCTGGGAATCGTTTGATCTTCTTGAGCCAATATCTTATTATCCAAAATTTTCGCAAGGAAATATTTTTTACTATACAATTCTCGTATGTGAGTTGTAAATTCTGTTATTACCTATTGTTCGTTATTTGACAGTATATGTGCAGTTAAATATAATGTAGATGTTAATTATTCATTCGGTTTCAACAGAAAATGCGTTACCTACGATTAATATAGTTATAAAAAAATTAATGCAGAACTTAAATTCAGCTC